TCCCCTTCGTACTAATTCTTTCAAGTGTATTAGGCGGCAGCACGCTGATTGCAGTTCTTGTGAAATATTCTACACACTTTTACAGTCCATTTGTCTGGCTGATTCTACACATGATATTGCCGCCTTAATCAGATCTTAGAATGAACTACTTGAGTCTAATACTTCAACATCTATGGAACATTGTATACATATTACAAGTTACCACCATTTAATTTCGGAAAGATGTCGCTAGAGATGGTGCTATTAAGGACCTTTAAAAGCGGTGGGGGGTTCTCTCTCTTTTCTCTCTTTTTCCCGTTTAACATGAAGTAGAAATAACTGCAGCGGCCGCTTTTTCCCGGTCATGAGGATATCCTTTTCTTAGTGACTGAAATGTTAAAGACAGTTGTGTCCTCCCCCCACACGCGTATGAATATGATTTCTACAATGTAAAGACTTACATGTATACGTGTATTATTCCACATGTGTTGCATAAAAATTATCGTCTTTTTAATCCAACTAGGAGCAGTGCCGCAACAGTTTATATATATATATATATATAGATAGATCGATAGATAGATCGATAGATAGATATAGATATGTATGTGTATATGTGTTTATTCAAAGTTATAACATATGTATGTTAAAACATCAATACAAATATTGCAATATATGTATATATATATATATATATATGCACACACACACACACACACACACACACATATATATATATATATATATATATATATATATATATATATACAGAGAAGTGGAAAAATTCAACCAAATAATGTCTGAAATGTATGAATAAATGAATGTATATAGATACACAGACAGACACCGACAGATACACACATATACAGACACACAAACACACGAACATATATTATTATTATTATTATTATTATTATTATTATTATTATTATTATCTTGATTTCTGGCGTTTACTCATTTCTTTCCGGTCCCGCCGAGGGACCTAAGTTTAGAAATGGCATCATGGATTCTTTCCATTGACAATATATATATATATATATATATATATATATATATATATATATATATATATATATATATATATATTTCATAGATAAAACCCTTCGTAAAAGTGTGGGCTGTACTTGTCAGAATAATTTTTTGTATCCCCTTGAGGCATGGACTTCCAGGAATCCCTTCAATTAGTCAACTGCAATCTTTTCCAACAAGTCCTAGGGCTCCAACTACAACAAGGATTGTTGATGTTCCCATATGCCATATTTTCGAGATTTCTATTTCAAGGTCCTTGTATTTTGACAGCTTTTTGAATATCTTCAAAGATACATTGCAGTCAGCAGGAGGCACTTTTTTTTTTGTTTGTGGTCTTTAATAACAATGTCTGGGCGGTTGGCTTTGATTGTTCTGTCAGTGTGTATTGTTTAGTCCCATATAATTGTAACAGATCCTATCTCCGTAACCGGGTCTGGGTGGTGTTCATACCAGTTTCTTTCAGTTTCCTTCCCGTAGAAGTTGCAGATTTTCCAGTGCAGATATTGGCTCACTCTGTCATGCCGGGTTTTATATTCAGTGGGGGCCAATATCGTGTAACCTGTTACAAGATGATCAATCGTTATTATTATTATTATTATTATTATTAGGCAAAACAATTGAGTTATATTTCATATTATTTATGTACTCAAAATCACGCCCACAGCGAAATAAACAAACACATACATATACTAACACTCTGAGGATTGAGGAAAGGAAATAAAAAAAATAAAGTAGGTAGATATTTATATAGATAGACAGACATTATCTATTCAAAAACTTGCAAAAACATATCCATACAAGCACATACACATAAAACCATCCACAGAGAGCTATAAACAGGCATAGATAGATAGATAGATAGATAGATAGATAGATAGATGGAATGGCTGATTTATAGATAGATAGATATATAGATTTTTGTGACGCGTCTCATCTGTTAAGATTTCATGTGTCATAAAAGCATTTCCAGTTCATCATCTTTTTCTAAATGCTGTTTGTTGATATATAAAATTATTCAAAATTATATATCGTTATATGATAGATAGATAGATAGATAGATGCAGACAGAGATAACTCGATAGCTAGCTAGCTAGATAGATAGATTTATAGATAGACAGATAGGAGCAGGGATAGATAGATAGATAGATAGATAGATAGATAGATAGATAGATAGGAGCAGTTATAGATTGATAGGTAGATTATTAATCTATCTAACTAACGACACGCATTATCACCCCGGTGCACACCTAAAACCACACATACATATAAAAAAACACTATTCTGATTGACGAATAGGAAATATAAAAGCGGGCGTAAAAAAAAATAGGAATATTTTAATTTTTGCAAGCGTCCACTGATAACTTGAAAAAAAGACGTGCGGTTGGGATCTCTGTCAGTGATTACCAATTAGCCAAAAATTACATCGACGAAAGCATCTGACGATCAACTTTTCTCATCGTAGATACATGTTATTTCTAAAGATTCTTGTGACAACCGTAATTTAGAATATTTTTTCAATTTTAAATTCATTTAAAAGTTCATTTGAATCTATTTAATCTATAACTATTAATGAATTATAATTTAAACGTTTTTTATAAATCAAATTTAATCGCCATGCAGTTTTTATATTTCAATTAACCCTTCCATTTTCTAGACCGGTTGCCACCCAAGGCTATTGGACCCAGTCTACCCTGCATTTTCCCAATAGTTGCCTTTCCCCAAGTTTATTTACGCGTGATTAAATGTATCGAACTCCCACTGCACATCAGAGATAAGAGTTTAGAGATAGATAATTGAGGTAGGTAAGTTAGTAAAGGGGAGGGGGATAGGTTGATTGAGAGATAGATAAGTAAGGGGGGAAGGGGGTGGGGAGGTAGGAAGGGGGAGGTAAGTGGGGGAGGTAAATAAATGGATTGACAGAACAAAGAAGATAAAAATGAAAGTGACTATGCTGTATGGATATCATTGAATATATATATATATATATATATATATATATATATATATATATACATTTATATAAGTCTCTGTAGAGATATATGTAGATATGTATTACTATATGTATAGATATAAATATATATACATCTATATATCTATATCTATCTATCTATCTATCTATTTATATATATATATATATATATATATATATATATATATATATATATAGTGAAAGAGAGGGTTTTAGAGAGCTAGATTTGAACAGATTTGGATAGATTGATAGATAGATGTGAAGAGCATAAGTAGATAGATATATAGAGGCCGAGAGAGATAGATAGATATGAAGAGGCTGGGATAGATAGATAGATAGATAGATAGATAGATAGATAGATAGATAGATAGATAGATGTTCGAGCCTTTTATATCCTTGCTCTGTCTTGTACATAGAGCTCTCTCTCGATTTTATCTCGTTAGAAACACACACACACAAACATATATATATATATATATATATATATATATATATATATATATATATATGCTGATATCAAAGATAGATACGTTAGTTGGAATTAATTTATTTTATTTTGCAATAAACATATGTATATAGAATATAGTTGTATTTGTGTAAATATACCAACATTATTTCTTTCGTACGTCTTCACAAAAAAAAAACGTCTCCTTTGGGCAAGATTCTGTAGAGCTTTAGACTCCTTAGCCATGAATACACACCTCAGGAGATATTTATGTCAAAGAAAAAGAAAAAAAAACAGGCTTGACTGCTCCCCAAAAACTACCGGCTATTCTCGTTTACCGAGCATCCCCAAATGTGATGGTGGCTAGCCAATCCCTGTCGTAGACACCTATTCAGGCATCTTTTCAGTACCCACAGAATACAACGGGGGCCTATACTACTAGTGGGACGAGCAGTTTCAATTTCTGGGAGAGAGCGTGTAATCTGTCATATTCAGCAGTTTGAACAACGTCAATACTCTCAATGTCTCGGTCACGATGACTTGTGACTTTGCACTACATTTCGTACTTCTGCCTACAAAAGTCACGGCCTGGGTCAGCACGTGGCATATCGTTTTCAGGCGTACACTTGAAACGCTTGCTCCGGCGACCGATAATTAGTTTCCAAATTGGGTCTCATGGTCGTATGAACATGGAAGTGGCTATCACTGCTGAGTATTGACCTCAATGTTCATGTTTATATCTACATATGCTATATCCGTGATATTTAACATTTTACCATAAATATAGCATACCTTAAAACTATATATATATATGTGTGTGTGTGTGTGTGTGTGTGAGGATGCGTGTGTGTGGGCATGTGTGTGTGTGTGATAGATAAACAGATTTGAGCATAGATAGATTGATAGATATGATCATAGATAGATAGATAGATAGATAGATATGATCATAGATAGATATGATCATAGATAGATAGATAGATAGATAGATAGATAGATAGATAGATAGATAGGTATTAACAGACTTAGATAGATAGATAGATAGATAGATAGATAGATAGATAGATATTAACAGACTGGGATAGATAGATAGATAGATAGATAGATAGATAGATAGATAGATAGATAGATAGGTATTAACAGACTTAGATAGATAGATAGATAGATAGATAGATAGATAGATATTAACAGACTGGGATAGATAGATAGATAGATAGATAGATAGATAGATAGATATGATCATAGATAGATAGATAGATAGATAGATAGATAGATAGACTGAACGGAGGAGATGAAGAGAAAGAAAGAAAGAGAGAGAGAGAGAGGGAGAGAGATACACAAATGTTAAAGTTATATCCCGTACAAATAATCATCCCATTAAATTCGGGTATCGCTCGAAAACATAAAGATTAAAATGTAGCAAAATAAACATCATACCCATTACGAAATCCTTGACGTGTACAAATATCTTGGTAATATCCCCAGGGATACATCGTTGACTCACCGTCGAGTATCTTAATTGTTTTCAAACACTCCTGACTTTTGATCGTTCGTGGATATCTTTTCGTGAGGACATATATGATGATGAGTAAAATTCCTTTTTGCTTTTCATCTTTTCTTTAATATTTTATAATTTTCACGTAAGTCTTCTCATTTTTCGCTTTTTCCTGTGAAGCTATTTAGTCGTATCGTTTCTGCAAGGTCAATCCGACAACCTGGTTGAGCGTGTATGGTTAATCAGGTGTATATTTAAGAGGAAAATCTCGCCTCAAGCAGGCAACAGGAGCCACCTTGTCGCCTACCGAACGACGTAACGATTATCTCCCTTTTATAATGCCTGAGGAGTTTGCTATCTTTTTTATGTAAGAGAAGGAAGAATATTTACCGTCTTCGTTATCTATCTATCTATCTATCTATCTATCTATGTCAGTATATTCATATTCAAGAATAACATTGCTTTCTATCTATGTCAGTATATTCATATTCAAGGATATACATAGCTATCTATCTACTTATCTATCTATCTATCTTTCTATATCAATATATTCATATTCAAGAATATACATATCTATCTATCTATCTATCTATCTATCTATCTATGTCAGTATATTCATATTCAAGAATATACATAGCTATCTATCTATCCATCTATGTTCATATTCAAGAATATATCTACTATCTATCTATCTATCTATCTATCTATCTATCTATCTATCTATCTATCTATATATATATATATATATATATATATATATATATATATCAGCATATTCATATTCAAAAAATATGCATATCTATCTATCTATGTATTTATCTAATTATTTATCTATGTCAGTATATTCATATTCTAGAATATACATATCTATCTGTCTATCTATCTATCTATCTATCTATCTATCTATATCTATCTATCTCAGTATATTCATATTCAAGAATATACATAGCCAACTATCTATCTATCCATCTATATATATATATATATATATATATATATATATATATATATATATATATATATATTCAATCTTTTTTCAGATCTATCTATAGTGAATCAGTTCATATCTATCTGTCGCTCTCAATATGTTAAGATCTATCTCAATCTATTCATTATCTATCTACTATCTCTATCTGTTAAAATCTATCACTCTATCCATCTATACATATAAATATATACAATCTTTCTATCTATCTATCTATCTATCTATCTATATACGCCAAGCAATTTAAAAATGCACGCAGCTCCCAATCATATCACGATATCTTGGGCGGGTTTAGATGGGTTTTATTTTTGGCTGGGCCTACGGGCTCAAGCATACCCACATTAAAAAGGCCTTGTGCCACATTCGATCCCTGTGGGTGGATTGATAAACACCATCTATAAAAAGAATACCCGCTCGGCCTGGTGGCTAGGATCAAAGTGTAGTATCTGCGCTTTGTGAGCTGCCGGGTCGGGTGTCTGTCGAACTCTTTGCTTGCAGAGAGGAACCCGGACGAAGCTCTGCCGAAGGGTGGGGTTTCATTGGGGGAGGTTGACGGAACTAGCCCGCTTGGGCGGGTTTAGATGGGTTTTATTTTTGGCTGGGCCTACGGGCTCAGACATACCCAAATTAAAAAGGCCTTGTGCCACATTCGATCCCTGTGGGTGGATTGATAAATACCATCTATAAAAAGAACGTATAAACATAAAATGTCTCAATATAATTATAATTATATATATGAGGGTCAAGCAACGCAGTTCCTAGGAGCTGACAGCCCAGACCCCAGCACATGTGATTTTCTTATGGGGGTGAAGGCTTTGTGCAGAACCAACCACACTTTTGAAGAGCCAATTACAGAGCCCTGGTGCACTACGTGCCGCGAGGTCTCCAAACAACCCTCAGCAGATTTTGAATTCAGAGTTGTTCTTCTCGACCTGTGGCCATCCAAGGCTATAGAACCCAGTCTGTTCCGCTATTTACCCATAGCTGGGGGGAGAAGAAGAGGATTCATACCTTTCCCAACGGTATTAGCACATAAGTGTATATAATGGATTCCAGTGGAATTCGATTCCTCAATCCGAGCCGCTATCAACTTCACCACCATATATATATATATATATATATATATATATATATATATATATATACGAACAAACTGAGATAGATAGATAGATGTAAACAGGCATAGATAGATAGATAGATAGATAGATAGATAGATAGATAGAATACATTTCTGTGTGTGTTTGTATATATAGACGTGTGATTTTATAATATATTATTGCTTTATATATCTTATTTGCTTTACCGCCATCATACCAACGGCAACGGAAATTAATCAATTCTCTGGATTATCTTTACGGATTATCTCTGCATTTAATCTACTGTTAACACCCTAGAGGGCTTTGAAGTGCTAAGTTACTGTCCAAATACTCTAGTCATACTACTTATTCTGTCTCATTTACGTATATCCACTGAACTTATCTTTTATAGTTACAAGACGGACTTAAATATTTAATCCTTACTCATGTATATATTCATGGGGAGATTCCTTTCTCCGTCGAGTATGTAGTTTTGTCTATCAAGCGTGCAGTAAAGCTATCCATGTGTCTATTTACATGCTTATGAATATTTCTTCTTTTATTTGTCTTATAGCTTTAAGGTCTCTACGATCATGGTTCTCCACATCTTCCTTTTCTTTTTATCTCCTAGTAAAGTTTTAATTATTACTCCCCGATGTGACATAGTAAATTATTTTTGAGCTAATAAAAGTTTTCTTTGGTCTTCTTCTTCTTCTTCTTCTTCTTCTTCTTCTTCTTTCTATTTAATCTGTTCTTTCTCTTTCTTCTTCTTCTTCTCTTTTACTTCTTTTTCTTCTTTTCTTTTTTCTTCTTTCTTCCACTTCTCTTTCTCTTTTTTCTTCTTCCCATTCTTTTTCTTCTCTTTCTTCTTTTTCTTCTCTTTCTTCTTTTTCTTCTTTTCCTTCTCTTCTTCTTCCCATTCTTTTCCTTCTCTTCTCTCTTTTTTCTTCTTTTCCACCTCTTTGTTGTTGTTCTTCTTCTCATTCTTCTTCTTCTTCTTCTTCTTCTTATTATTATTATTATTATTATTATTTTATTCTCTTTCTTCCTCCTCTTCGACTTCTCGTCTTTCTTATTTCCACATCTTCTCTCTCTTCTTCTTTTTCTTCTTCTTGTCTCCTTTTTTTCTTCTACTTTTCTTCATATCCTCCTCTTTTTTCCTCTTGTTCTTTTTCTCTCTGCCCTGTCCCTTCAGGACGTGGGCGATCGCATCTCTGTTCATTTTCATGTTTTTGCAGCTCATAATAAATGTTATCTTCTTGGTCTTCTTCTTTATCTACCGTCTCCCTACATGACGTAGTCGTTCATGGCTCTCCACAACGTTCTACCTCATGTATCTGTTAATAAATTTTTAATATCTAGTATTTCTCCTAAGCCCTGTTCCACAAATTTAGTCAAGGTCACTAAATTTTTTATGCGTTGTTTTCATATTTCCATCTTGCATTCAATATGCCCTGTGCGTATCAGATTTACCGAGTCCCTCTTTCTTCATTATGTCTCTAGAATTGTCAACTGTCTATTCGTTAATTATAAGAGTATTCTTTGTTTTATATTCTCTAAACCTTCACATGTTTGGTCCATTGTATCCTCAATATCCTTCTGTAGAACCACATTTCTGTTGAATTGAGTATCTTCTTCATCTATGATTATTTTGATCAGCATTCTCTACCCTATAGAAATGATAATACGCAACGGGTCAATACTCCTGTCTTTTTTTTTCTTTTCATATTTTTCTGTATCTTAATAGTTTGCTTAGATTTTGGAAGACTTCATTCGCAATAGCAATACTCCTATAGATTTCAGTGTCACACTTTCCGTATTTCCATCAATATGTACACTAACTGCTCAATTGCTTCGTCCACCGCAAGGAAAGTTGGTTCCCTGTGCCGCGCCAGGAAATTTTTCTCCCCGGAATCGATCCTTCAAATCTATAAATCAACCATTCGCCCTTGCATGGAGTATTGCTGCCATATATGGTCTGGAGCTCCTTCTGTTTGTCTCGGAGTTCTTGATAAGATCCAGAGACGGATATGCAATATAATTGGCCCTGATCTGGCATCTCGTCTGCAGTCGCTCTCTGTCTCTCACAGATGTGCTGTCGCCTCTCTCTGTCTTTTTTACAAGTACTTTCACGGTAAATGCTCCGATGAGCTGCTTTCGCTGGTTCCCAGACTCCATGAATTCAAGCGCCCTACGAGGCTGGCATCTCGCTCTCACCCTTTCAAAGTTGAAACTGTTAAATGTAGCCGTCTCTTCTACTCCAATAGTTTCATATCTCGCACCTCTCGCCTGTGGAACTCCCTCCCCTTTTCCTGTTTCGCTGATTGCTATAATCTCCAACTATTCAAATGTAATGTCAATCGACATCTCCAGTTGCCATGATCTATCCCCTATTCTTCTCTTCATCCTTTCCTCTATCACTCCTATTTGGTCTCACTTCAACTCTCTGTAACACCTTCAGTGCTAGTGGCTTCCAGCCATGTTTGAGGTGAAATACTTAAAAAAAAAAAATTCTTCTTTCCTAATAGTGTCTGTCATTATGAATTTTTTTCTGCTTTTAAGTATTATTTCCCTTTTAAGTTTAAAACTTCCTAATTGCAAATATATTACGTCCATGTTATTCCTAGCATCCGACTGTAGAACATGTTTCTGTCGCTTCGAATCGTTTCCTATTTCATAACATTGTTTATCCTTTGCTTCCATATCAGAGCATTCACACGTGACATTGTAATTCAAAATTCTTGCATAAGTTTAAAAAATATACCTTTAGCCATTATGAATGACGTATTTGTTGAATATGTGAATTTTAATATATGCATCTATAGGGATGGCAGTGTTTTATTGCATATACCCAGCAGGGCCAGCACGTAAGTGAAATCTTCAATAAAACTAAGATATATATATATATATATATATATATATATATATATATATATATATATATATATATATATTTAAAAGTCCAGGATGTGTGTGTGTGTGTGACGAATGCACGGCCGCAGTTTTCGACCGATTTGCACCATGCTCTAAGTTAGCGGGAAGGCCAAGATCGACTTTGCATTTCCCAACTCCTGTCGATAGTGGAAATAATCGATTTTTCATGCTTCTAGGGCAGTTTTCATGAGTAGCACCATGCATACCTGACGAGCTGAAAAGAAATATTCATAGATATATGATTTGTTTTTTACGGTTTATCAACCATTTAATAATTATTTAGGGTCGAAAAATATTTTGGGTTTTAAGAATAATTCTTTCTTTACATTCAAGCGATCTGGAAGAGAGAAAGAGAAAACGAAGAAGAAAGAAAGAAAAAATAATACGAAAACAGGTCATAGGCGAGCACACACACGAACGGCTGACAGATAACAGGTGTCGAAAAATATCCGTGTCAAGCATCTGACCGATTTTCACGGAATCCACGAAAAATGGAAGTTGTTATCAATTGGTTGTCACCCAAGAGGAAAAGAAGTAACGAAGTTTATGGACAATGAAAATATTGATAAGTAACAAGTGGAAAGTGTGTCATTGGAGTGATAGTAAAGGTCTAAGTGGGTGGGAGGTGTATCTAAGGATATGAAGGCAAACCATTAATACGAAAACCCAGACAGTCTCCAGAATTGGAAAAAACCACACAAGAAGATGTCGCTGAAATTTTTTTTTTTCGAGATAATAAAGATTTTTATTATCGGACCTTCGGGCGGAGGAAAATTAAATATTTTTATTTCGTTCAAAAACGCCAACAGGTCTGAGAAATCCCTTTCTTAGATCATATCCAATTAGCGATAAACTGCTTGACAAATACCACGTGTTAAACAGCCGAAGGTGTCATCGCAGTCGCTCATGATAAGGGCGATTTAAATTAATATTTTTGTTTTTTAAGCAAGGTGTTTCTTTCCTCAAAACAAAGCCACGGATTGTCCACGCCCGACTAAAGACGTCATTGGCTAAATAAGATCACATGACCCACGAAGGAGGACGAACGATACCCGACCAGGACCTCATTGGCCGAGAGCGGTCACGTGACGCACGAGGAGAATCGGTCGACGCCCCTGTCAGAAGTGTAAGTGTAAGGAGCCGATACGAAGAAGCGGGGAAGCTGGTATACGCCTCTCAGAGGCACAGTAAGGAAGTAGGACTGAGAGTGAGTTACCGAAAATGGAAAATCCCTAACCAGAAATAAGAAGGGTGGATACGTATTTAGAATTATCGAAGAAACCCCTGGCGCCGACAGACCCACCCCAGTTTTGACTGCGTCAATAAAAGCGAAACCCCAACCGACAGAAATCAGTTTGAGCCGAGGACGGCGGGCCAGGTTCATTCGCCCCTTTGCGGGCAAGAGAGGCCAGTTCGTTTGGCCTAAGTGAAGAAGTTCGTCCGACCCAAGCCGAAGAGAAGAAGTTAGTTCGCGCACCGACAGCGGAGATGAGTGACCAGTAATTCAGACTCTGAAAAGAAGAAGTTAGTTCGCGCACCGACGGCGGAGATGAGTGACCAGTAATTCAGACTCTGAAGAGAAGAAGTTAGTTCGCGCACCGACGGCGGAGATGAGTGACCAGTAATTCAGACTCTGAAGAGAAGAAGTTTGAGTTGAGCCGCGGACGGCGAAAGAGTTCAGCCGTGGACGACAAGCAGAGATGAGCGCCCAGTGTTGAAACCGCGTCAAGATAGCTGACCAAGATTCACGCACACTTCTGGACTCTTCTTCAACCAAGAACAAGTAGTTTGAAGAGCGACTTAGAATCAGACTACAGAAATAAGTTTTTTTTCGACTTTCGTCCAAAGACACACCGAAACACAAATTTCTTAGAGAGCAGACAACTGGAAGCCTTAAAGTTGCCTAGAAAAAGCGTCGTGCCACAATCCACAGAACGGGTCGGGAAGTAGACATAGTCCTATGTACCGAGCAATTAGACATAAAAAGTTTGTTACCTTTTTCTTGAGACGTTGGACCTTGTGAGTTTTATTTTATTTTATTTTATACATAATTGTGTGTTATCACCCCCGTTAGACTCAACTTGCATTACGGCCCCAACCCCTGTTTGATCTCGTCTGTTTAAGATCAATTCACAACGTGGGTAGGCAGACTGGAGATCAGTGCAGTTACCCTGGTAACCAGGCGTTGGAAGCCGGTTGGAAGCGGGTTGGAAGCCAGGCTGGTATATATCTAACCAAAGGGTTAGAACGTCACGTTTGGAGCAGCGAGGAGCGAACAGCTGACGCCGCGGCAAAGACGTCACAGTTGGTGCTGTCCGTGACCAGGATATCAGAGCCTGGGGAGCACGTGACGTCACAATTGGCGCCGCGACCGGGATCGAACAACACAGTCGACGCTGCGACCGGGGGACGACGTCACACATGTAGTTTGCGGCCATTTTCTACTGGTCACAGTGAAAGCCTATATCTTGCTGCTACGAATAAGCAGGAAGATTGTATTGGCCAGCGTGAGAGCCAACAGCTGACTGACACGAATGTTAACTAGCATGCTAGCATGCAAAAAAAATCGATAGCTGTATTCGTCCCAAGTGGGAAAAATTTAAATCAGCATGGCACTTTACTTCAATTGGCTCATTCGCTTGATTGAACCTAACGTTGATTCTGATTCCGCAAAACAGGGTTGGGTGTGAAAAAGTATTTGTTATTAATATTCTTTTTTCATTCGGTTTTTCCAGTTACGAGTCCTTTTTTAAAGCTTATCGTTTTGTGTTCATTTTGTTTAGTTCTTTTTTTGTAACAGATTTAATGTTTAGTATAGAGCTTCGAAAAAATTCGCAGTGTGAGATAGGCAAAGAAGTAAGGCATGTAGCAACATCAGCACGGCAAAGGGCACTCCTTTAAAGGCAAGGAAGGGCAAAAATATTTTAAGTCAAGTGATAGCGATTGCTGAATGAGTCGTACTATTTTTGAATCAAGCACGGGCAACGCCGGATCATGCTGCTAGTTTCTCTCTCTCTCTCTTTATATATATATATATATATATATATATATATATATATATAGATAGATAGATAGATAGATAGATAGAGATACATAGATATATATAGATATGTATATATATTCTCATTCAGATATCATTTTTTGTTGCAGTGTCGTTAACAAAATCGCAGTGTTCGTCTATTTCTCATCAAATTCCGCTGTGATATCTATTCATCTCTTCTTTATAGTTTTGTTTATATAATTATATTAGCAGCGGGGAAAATTCTAGACTTGCTTTGTCAAAATATTTCTAAGAAGCTAAAAAATAAAAGAGAAAAAAACCAGGTCAACATTATTTCAGGAAATAAAAAGAAAAAAAACAAATGAACATTAATCTGTTTATCTATGCATCCCATCTGTTTATATACCTATGCACCTCTAACAATGTTCATATCTATATATCACAATTTGTCCCTATCTATCTATCTATCTATCTATCTATCTATCTATCTATGTCTGTTCATTATCTATCTATCTATCTATCTATCTATCTATCTATCTATCTATCTATCTCCGCATCTCTTTTTCTTTCTTTCTTTTTATCTATCTCTGATGCTTCATTATATATCTTTCGCAATATTTATCTATCGCAATATCTTACGATCTATGTATATATCGCAATCTCTTCAGATCTATATATCTATCTATTGCAATTTATTCAGATCTATATATCGATCTATCACGATCTCTTCTAGCTAGCTAGCAAGCTGTCTATATTAGTCTCTTTATATCTATCTATCGCAATCGCTTCAGATCTATCTATCTATCTATCTATATTTGTATATATATACAGCTATCTATTTATCTATCTTCGTCTCTTCATATCTATCTATCGATCTATCTATCGCAATATCTTCATATCTATCTATCTATCTATCTATCTATTTATCTATCTATCTAGGCCATTCGCTTCCTATTTATCTAACTAGAAAACGTAATCCTTTCATATCTATCTATCTATCTATCTATCTATCGCAATATCTTCATATCTCTCTATCAATCGCAGTCTCTTCAAATCTATCGCAATCTCTTCAGATCTATCTATCTATCTATTTATCTATCTATCTATCTATCTAACTATTTATCTATTTTCAATAAGCAAAGAAGAAATAAAGTAAAACAGCTCAGCATTAATCACAACGGCGTTGACAAACGTTTACCGGTACCCACACCCTTCGCAGACCCCACAACTTGCGAAGATATAGTTTTAATCTTTTATCAGCTATCGGCTTATTCTTAAGCTTTCAATTATTTTTTTTTTTTAACGCAGGGACAAAATGCGATATTCATGTTTACATTAACCTTTCAACTCATCTTTGTGTTGATGTGGGGAAGCAAGATACACTGTCTAAGTCTCTTATTCTTCACACACTTTTCAGCAGCTCCGAGGAAGTGATTTAGGGCAAGCTCCATTTTCCATTTGATTATTTTTATGCGTCTTCCTTTGATGAAATCGACTGTTTTAACTTGGATTTTCAAATACCAAAAAGACAGTTGAAAACTAATTATTTTTTCGAATAATTGTGCCTAAAGTTACCGATTATATTACACTTCCTGGCGCGCAGAATATGACGCTTAAGTTTGCGTCCAAGTCATCCAACTTTCGATAATGTTATTTGGCGTTAAATATAACGAATCCGCTACAGAATATGTATGTAGGTATCTCAATCTGTTCATATCTATCTACCGTAATTGCCTAATATTTATCTGTATCTATCTATCTATCTATCTATCTATCTATCTATCTATCTATCTATCTATCGCAATATCTTCATATCTATCTATCAATCGCAGTCTTATCAAATCTATCGCAATCTCTTCAGATCTATCTATCTATCTATGTATCTATCTATCGCATGTCTTCATATCTATTTAGCAAAATAAATCTCTTCATTATCTATCTATCATAATCTCTTAACATCTATCTATCGTAATCGCTTTACATTTATCTATCTATCTATCTATCTATCTATCTATCTATCTATCTATCGCAATCTCTTCATATCTATCTATCTATCTATCGCAATCTCTTCATATCTATCTATCTATCTATCTATCTATCTATCTATCTATCTATCTATCTATCTATGGCATTCGCTTCCTATTTATCTAACTAGCAAACGTAATCCCTTCATATCTATCTATCTATCTATCTATCTATCTATCTATCTATCTATCTATCTATCAGG